ATTCAATATTTTATTTAGATTGTTAAGCTATTGCGGAAATGTATTATTCCCTGTGTACAGGGAATACATTCATAGAAGTTCTATTGGGCCCCTCACATTGAGGTGGGCTCTATGTGAATATTTTATTGCATAAAATAAATCACTCATTCTATTATCATGAGTAATTTGTAAAACTTCTGTGGAAAAAAAAAATTCCTATATATTGTAGATTGATTCGAATTTTGGAAAGTGACTGTCGTGAATATTCTAACACTTTCAAGCATTTTGAAATTTAGGCCACCTCCAAAAGAAAAGGGAGATACGAATAAAGCTATAAGAAGGCTCTCCAAAAGAAAATTCTCATGTTTGATTCCTTCATTTTACTTTAGCCCTTTTTTTTTTATACTTAATATTTTTACAATATATTTTTCTCTCTTTTTTTAATCGTATATTTTTAATAAAATAATATTATATACAAATTTAAAATTTTTTCTTAATTCTTTAATATATTATTTCAAAATACATTATTTAATAAAAATGGTAGTCAAACAACTTTTAATCTATTTTTCATATTCATTTTCACTCACACATTTAAACAATAAAATATTCTACGCATAAATCAAAAAGTTTTTCTTACTTTTTAACCACACAATCTTAAAAAAAAATGCTATTTAAAATTATATTTTTAAAATTTTATGGCCACCAAATAGGGGGCTCATTTGTCATAATTCTCATTATAATCAACTAATAATTACGCTAAACTACGTGTTGTATTTAAGGCCTAAGCTTATCTCATGTAGCTGTAGCTGCTGCTGCTTCTTTTATACTTTTTCAAAGAAGTGATTTTCTCTACTAATAATGTGTGATGGGTTTAATTTTTATAATGTATTGCTGCAAATTCATTGTGACAGCAAAGATTGAAAACTTCCTGTTGCGGAAGCTCTCTTGAAAGATCTTCAAACGATGATTTTTCAGACTCGGTCCAATGTACCTTTCTCTACTAACAACCAATCCAACCGATTTCAAACCACAACCAATATAATTCACCTCGATTGCTATTCAATCTTATCTACGTAGGACAAGAAATGATGATGATTTGTGGCCACAAAGGCTAGGAGAAGACACCACAAAAGTATACTATGAAGGAACCACCAATTACACAAAGTAAAATGTGTTTTGGACACTTCTAGGGGCTGTTTTTTCACTCACCGAAAGGGCAGCCGGGATTCTCCTTTTTCTCACACAGTCTCACAAAACATCATAAGAAAGAGGTTAGGGTTATATCCATATATATACTCTAGGGTTAGGCTTTAAATTGGGCCATTAAAGAGGTAAACGGGCCAAAATTCAAGTCATCCAGAAGAAATACAATTGGATCGGGTGTAACTCATGAACTTGGTTGTTGGACTTATTTCATTCATCGGCATATGCCTATGAAATAATATTAACTCACGTTAAAATTATAGCCTGAGATTTATTGGGTATCAAAAACTCAACAAATCTCCACATTGATGCCCAATAAATTTACAAGTAATCAAAACACACAGTTAACACTTGCACAATCAAGGTAGCCAATAAAATTGGATCACGGACCTTACCTCGTGTTTCCAACTTGAAACACATATCATACATGCTCCATGTACTCACTGGGGCTCAGGTCAAAAACACCCAAGTAGAAGCAAATATTTAACAGTAAACAATCAAGAGCAAATACACATGCGATAACGATATACTATAGGATAACACACACAGATCTTTTCAGAAACACATTCACATAGAACCACAGATTAACACCAAGTCAATCAAAATCACGGTCAACCACATATACAACACATGCATAAATGACCCTAAGAAAAGATCTCACCACACATATCTTATCCCATTCCGTGTTGCTCACACCTCGAGAACACGTATCTCCTCTCATCGCCCACCAGGCTCACTAGACAGATCACTCAACTCATGTCTAACTGGTAAGTCACAATAAATCCTAAGTCCACGGGATAATCCTCTATCTCCACATCACTTCTCCCAACCTATATGGATAATGGGACTCTACCTTATAGAAGTGATAGAAGTGCCTCTCTCGCACTCCACCTGATCAGGGTCTCTTTCTAGATAAAGAATTCTAGACATTTGATCACATCTCCACTCGTGATCCAAATGTCACACTCCACATCCCAGGTACAAACCACCATGTACCCCTAGGCATCTATATTCCACCTTACAAAAAGACACACAACACAATGCTAATGCATCCTAACCTACTATGCATATAACAATTACACCAAGTAATCATAATGTCTCAAATTCATGCAAATGCACATATCAAACACATTGAGATGTAGCAAATAATCATGCAACAAAATTTAGACAATCACACACATGCTGAAAAAGATCACGCATAGATGCATATGCAGTGACTAGGTTTACACGTAATAAACCTCACTGGGGTCATAACTCGACCCCTCAACCAAATTCGTCTCACCCCTCATCTTATCCTTCAGCTTATCTTTCTTCTTGGTACAGTCCCTAATAAAGTGTCCAAACTTACCATAACAGTAACACCTTCTACCATTAGACTTGTCTTGTCCCTTGCCCTTCTTCTTACTACCCTCATCACTCGAGTCACTACTCTAATCACTATCGTTTTCAGTTCTACTCAAATTCATTTGCTTAAACTTCATCCTACTTCTCATCATATGTAACTCGCCACTCCTCTTATCCTCTTTTTCATCTTTAATCTTCATCTCCAGTGGTCTCCGTTTCTCCAAACTTCTTCTGGATTGATCAGAAAATGCGAAAAACGGAGACTGATTTTGACAGTTTTTGGACAGCTTCTTCGATCTGATTTCCGCTGCGTTTCTGTCGATTTTCTGGACAATTTCTGGTAGATTTCACGAGCAAAAACTTTCACCTTGAAGCTCTGATACCAATTGTTGCGGAAGCTCTCTTGAAAAATCTTCAAACGGTGGTTTTCCAGGTTTAGTTCAACGTACCTTTCTGTGCCAACAACCAATCCAACCGGCGCCAAACCACAACCAATATAACTCACCTCAATTGCTATTCAATCTTATCCACGTAGGACAAGAAATGATGATGATTTGTGGCCAAAAACGCTAGGAGAAGACAACACAAATGTTTACTATGAAGGAACCAGCAATCACACAAAGTAAACAGGAGTTTTGGACACTTCTAGGGGCTATTTTTTCACTCACCAAGAGGGCAGTCGGGATTCTCCTTTTTCTCACACAAAGTCTCACAAAACATCATAAGAAAGAGGTTAGGGTTATATCCATATATATACTCTAGGGTTAGGCTTTAAGTTGGGCCATTAAAGAGGTAAATGTGTCAAGATTCAAGTCATCCAAAAGGAATACAATTGGGTGGGGTGTAGCTCATGGACTTGATTGTAGGACTTATTTCATTCATCGACATATACCTATAAAATAATATTAACCTACGTTAATATCATAACTCGGGATTTATTGGGTATCAAAAACCCAACACTTCCCATTAATTTTTGGTTTTTTGCCGTAGAATCGAATTTGTTCTCGACTAAAAATTTAGTCGAATTGTTGAGGATCCTATGTTATACTCGAAAAAAAAAGTTTGTATATTCTAATCAATCTACATCAACAGTTATTTTTGTAAGCGTATTTTTGTAAGCCTCAGTTTTTTATTTGAAATATCTAAAATCTGAAACTTAATAGGAGTCAAAATTATCACGAATCTTTGCTTAGATGAAAATAAAATTAAAGCCTTTACTTTTCTGAATAAAATAAGTTTATCGTGTTAATAAAAATAAATAAATAACTCTCAGTGGCAGGTTTAACATAGTGATGGCAACGGGACAGGTTAGGGACAGGGTGGGAGTCTCGCCCCAACCCCGCTTCGCGGGCTCACCCCGCTTTAAACGGGGCGGGGCAGTTTTTTGCCACATTTATTGCTCCATTTAATTTTATTTTTTTTAACACACTTTCAAAATTTCGAGTTATACTATTAAATTATAAAATACAAATTCAAAATTTAAAAATTCAAAACAAATAATGTTCAAATTAACATCAATATTCAAAGAAACACTCGAAAAAACAATATTCAAAAAAAAAAAAATACTCACGGGTTGAGTCCGGGGCGGGGAATTATGCGCCGCCGTCCCCCCACCCCATCAACCCGTCGGGGCGGTGCGAGATAAATTGCCATAATCACTGCAAATTTGTCTTCAGGTGCCCCACATAGGTTAGGGCACGTCATCAGCCACTTGGCCGTTTAATAAACAAGTCGTGCTGTGCTATTCAAACAGGGCCATGACAAACCCTGTGACAAGGCGCATACGCAAATATTTAAACTACGAATAATGCTTCTTATAGTAAAGATTATCAATGATTGTCTTACGTGACATACATATATCGTTTTGTTATTTATGAATGTGATAATTTTTTATGACTTTATACATCAAATAACAAATCGACACACGTGTGCTAGATCAGGCGATTACTAATAATCTTTGTTATGATTAGCATTACTTTTCAACTATAGGCCACGTCACCAATTAATTATCCATTATAGCCAAAATCCATATAACAATGGATTAGGCCCACCCATTCGTACTAAACATGAATCAATATGACCCACTGACAACAACTTAGTGCTTTTTTTAAATAAATTTTAAGTTAATTAAAATTAATTTTTTGACCGTTATTTCACTATTTCAGTCGTCATTTTTGAATTCTTCTCTCACAAATAGAACTAACTTTATCTCTAACGGTAAAAAAATCAATTATCGAAATTCCTATCAAACAAACACTAACACCCAACCCAAATTGATGGTAGAGTTTAAAAAATTATGCTATGTAGTAGTATCACGAATTTTAAGCACCAGACTGCATGGCAGTGAAGTTCACCATCTCTTTGTCAATAACACTGCATAGCATTACTCGAGTTTTAATGTCAATGTGCAGTTTAGTTACACTGTCTACTTTTTCTTCTCGGTCTCTTTACACTTGAAGCATAAATACCAATCATGGCATACTGGGGGGAAATATATATATATAAAATCTGTTCCTTGGCATAAGCTGACCAAATAGTTTTAATTATTACAAGATACAAGAGTGAAATTTTAGCTCAAGCCAGAGGGGGGGCAAAAAAAAGAATATATTGCTCTTCTCAAACCACCGTATACACTGACTTCCCATCTGGTTCATCCAAGTCAGGTAACAAACTTGACTTTACCAAGAACAACACTCAGTAATGGAAAATATGATCGCTGTACATATGGGCCGTCATGTTCAAGGATTGAAGCATGGCCTCTCCTTGTTTATTAAAGCTGAAAACAGATAATCCACCATTGTTGATGTCAATTGCGCGGAACCTGGACAAGTAATCAAACTGAAATTATCAGGAATAAAGAACTCAACTCTTGTAGGAAGGTTTCCTGGAATTTGGAAAAGCTATATGCTGCAGAACATTGGGGCAATACTACATATAGTTGGATAAAGAAGATCAGTTAGTACCATTACTTAGAATAGCTTTCTCGCGGGTCAACAATAGATTAATGATTTGCATAAGACCCCATTATGTTGATGTATTTATGATGATTTTCGGGGCAATTACTCCATTATTGCATTACTATCTGAAATGCCAGCCGTACAATTCAAGCTTATAAGAACTCTTGATCCATGTTTGGTACATAGTATTAGATTGTAGTGGACAATACAATGAACAACATTTCAACTTATGTTTCTCTCTATATTATTCAGTATTTTCTATTCTACCTTACCAAATATGCCAATGATGTTTAAAAATACTCGTATGGTGTATTCAAAACAAGAACTCAATGTCACCAAGGACAATTTAGATTCTTGACATACCTCTCAGGTCCTAGTCCAAGAGCAGTGCAGATCAATGCCCTCAGTATCGATTTGTGAGTTACAACCAAGAAATTTTCCCCCTGACCAATAAAAACACAAAGAATTATGCTAATTTTTATGTAGAGAATTGGCATTGTCATTTACATAAATATTGTCAATAGATAGGTCTTACGGGTGTAAAGAGTATTTCCATCCAAGCTTCACGAGCCGTTTCCCAGAGTTTTCGAACAGGATAGACACCATCAATGCAAAAATTCGAAGGATCTTCTCTCCACATGGTGAACTCTTTGGGATATTTCTTCCTGGCATCCACTGCCTCCAAATACTAAATATGATTTACATAGTGATACCTAAGGGTGATTTTTAGGAAGCAGAATCCAAAATTCAATGTGATCTTAAACCATATTTAACTTCTAAATCAATCACATTTCACTATAAAATATATTCAACTGATATTTTACACAGTAAAGAATAAAGATTGAATTGACTCTAAAGATAAAGTGTGAGGAGAGGAGGAGAGAGACCATTTCTCATGCCTTCAAGAAAAAATAGATGAGCCTCCTTCAGCGAGTCAAGGAAAACCAAAGGCTGATCCCTCTTTTCCCACAAAATTTCAGCAGTGGACTGCATTGTACACAGGCAGTTGAGAAGTTGACAAATTACAAGGCATTGGCTGACTTAATTACAGCAATCAAACCTTGGCACGAGATATTGGACTTGAGAAACACTGATCAAAGTGCATCTCAGCTAAGGCCATTCTGCACCTTTCTGCTTGTGCAACCCCTGCTTCAGATAAGACCGACTGGTTTGAGCTGCCCTACATGCATAACAATAAGGTGAGTTGGATTATCATGACTTCTCAAGGCACAAGTGAATGAGGAATTCTTCAAGTTCGAGATTTGATTTTACTTGAAGAATATCTTTTATTTGAATAGATTAACACGATTGAGACTGTATTCCAACTTCAGAGGGTTTTAGAAGCAATGCTTAAACACTAAATTCTCCGTAATGATGGCACATTGACATTCACGCTCAACAAGAAAACTATTTTAATTCTGAAACACTTTGTGAAAAATTTTATTTTTCATTTGTTAAATTATTTCAGTCAAAATTGTATTTAAACTATATTGGATGTTTTTGTTACATGTATTGTTATGAAAATACACAGACCAATCTAAAAAGTTAATATTGATATAGTTACACGATATCCACATGTTCATTATTGTTAAGATTTCAAGTGGAAAAAATAATTAAAATATTTGTTAATTTTAGAAAACTTTGAATTCAGACTCTGCAACAAGAATATTACTCATACAAGCAATTGATGAACTACGAGACATACAGTCTCTTTATGCAAAAAGATACTAAATTTATGGATCTTAGCAACATTAGTGTACAGCTGCAGTATAAATATCTGAATTTGATATGCTTGGACCATGGAATCACAACTTTATTTTCCAGCTAGGTAGATTAAAACATAAAGATAGCTTGGGAAACTTCAAAATTTAAACAAATTTCAGATTTTGTAGAGTTTCTAGAAACTGAAAATGCAGCTAAATAATTCAAACAATAAATCTAACTATCTAAATATGTTTATACAAGAGTTCATCAACATATGTAAGCTTTTGTCAATTTAGGAACGATATTCATAAGTCCAAGGAACATAAGAACATAAAAGAGAATCAGAGAAACAAACCTGAACTCTACCTTCTTTATTCCAAGAGCTAAGACCATGCCGTACGAGAGTTACCTTCTTTGGTGAAGACAACAACTTCTGAGTAAGTGAAGTTGTTGCTCTTTGGAAATCATATGCACCACCAGTCAATGAAGAACTATTTTCAAGTTCAACTGTGGTGGATGCAAATAGAGCCATGTTGAGTTGTCATATTGATTAAAAAGAAAGGCGTGGGCAGACAGGAGGGAGGGAGACGTCATAATGAATTAGAGATAAAAACACAGAAAGATCAAAGACCTTCACTTTGTGCACTGCCAACAACCTCTCAGCATTTAGTATACACATTCATCGATGAATCTATCATATCACTGTTATTACACCGAATGTTGCCATTCACCTGTTACTCTATGACATTCTATTTTATGTGGTATAATTGAAGCATGAAAATTTCCCCACAATTTGAGCAAATATCTTTATATTTTACAAGATTATGAACTTCTAGATAAATCAGTTGCTAAGATTTCCACATCTGACACTACTGAACATATTGACATTTCTAGATAAAAGAATCGGGACAATACGTATGCACCTGATCATGGCTTTTCAACGGATATGATGGTACTAGAGAGGATATCATGATTCATGTTATGACACCTATATTTTACACAATCAGGCCTTACATCTACAGTCTACACAACCCTTGGATACATCTTGCCACCTTCAGCAATCAAATGAATGGGATGTATGAACAATGCAACACACAAGAAAATGCTTGCTGAGTAAAAAACATGATCAACAGTGCAACTGCAAACTTAGTGGTATGCTGATCAACTCCCTTCTCTCCCGACTCCAACTTTCCAAGATACATAGTAGAATTCCCTAGCCCAGCCCGCTTATCCACAAGACACAAACAAACGATATTAATCTTCAAATCACATAGCATAAAATACAACAGGCTCAGAAGGCACACAGAGATGCACAATCCAATACCCATTACAATCTGGAAAGTATCATTTCTTGGTTCAGTCATAAAAACAAACACATAAAAGATAACGAACAAGCTGAAGTTTTTCTGAAGTACCAATTGTGATGGGAGGGTCCGGACTTGCAGAAGAGCACGTAATTCGAACAGTTGAACATGGGCAACCAAGAATCTTAGGAGATTTTCTTGAATCCGAAATTGTAATTGAGGAAGACAAGAAGGGAGTGCTGGACAGAGCTGTACAATTCATATTTGATAAACTCCGCCTGAATGCTAATTTTCTGTTAACTGACTGTCGATTTGCTACTACTAATTGAAATATCGCTAAATATTTTGGGACGTTGCCATGTGTGACGAGGAATAGCCATTCATCGTATGAGTATCTGATTATATGGTTGCAGTTGGCCGGCTATCACTTGTTTTAGTTTGATATATACTCTTGGGTGTGTAGAATATTCTTGAATTATATTTTTTTTGTCTAAAAATATAGCTCCTAGAGATTTAAATTTGAATTTCAATATAAACTGAAATCAATAATTAATTTTAATCATATATTTTATAAAATGTATAATTTTTTAATCTTATATTTCATCAATCATTAACAAAATCTATATTTTTTTCGATTATGCTACATGTATATTTTAACTCACGGATAAGTGATTTGGTGAGATTTGATTTGGTCAAAATCTCATCAACCCAATAAGAAAAATTCTATCTTTTTTTTTTTTTTTTTTTTACACTTCATTAATTTGTAAAAACTTATGTACATGATAATGTACAACAAGTATTTTTATTTATTTATTTATTTTTACTATTTTAGACCAACGCCTTGCATAATTGTTTATCTTGTGTACAGCATTAATTTTTAACATTAAGATGAAAAAGTAACATTTTTATATAAATTTCTTATGAAACATCTTGTCTTATTAAAATAGTTTACGTCATGATACAATTTTTGTTTTTGGCCTTTGACCATGAATATCTTTAAAAGGAAAAAAAAATATATATATATATATATATATATATATATATAACAATTAAGAAAAATGAAAATAAAATAACATTTGATGTACATAAATATTATATTTCTAATCTGTCCAGTATCATGAACTATGTTTTAGCCAACATCACGCCTAGGCGTCGCTTTTTAGAACATTGGGTAAAGCTCATATATGGTTTTGATACAAGGAGAAAAAATACATGTAATTATTGCAAAATTAACTTGCAAAATGCCAGCCAATTGTTGCCACTAGATGCTTTGTTTTCCACGTGGATTATTTCATTAGCTTCGGCTAAAGGAAGTTAATCCATACATGACTGAGATACAATATCTGAGTTCACATATAATTTTGGTACATATGTGAGTTCATATATGATTTTGATACTCGAGGTAGTTTTTATTACTGTTTGTGCATATAACCTTAATTAATACAATAAAATGATTTTGAACGACAAATAGTAATTTTGATATATTGCACTGAACAATATTGAAAAGAAAAACATAAAATTATTTCGTGTGCATTCTTTTAGTCTCATATAATTATATTTCCAATACATCATCCCAAAAATGCCCATAATAACCATTAAGAACAATAGGTAGAAAATCATACGAAATTACTAGTGCTTCTACGTAAAAGTGGCAACGTTCCCACAGAATAAAAGGCAAGTTCGTAAGAGAAGAGGTGCCTAAGATTTAAGGCTGAAAAGATTCAGGAAGTTGTGAAGGGAGTAGAGAAAAATGAGAAGATATATAACTGCAGCCAAAAAGCCAGCAATTACAGCTCCTGTAACACGGTCACAGAACTTTGGAACTTGCCCACAAATTGGTAGCCAACCTGCATGACTGTTCCCCTTCTTCCCCACCTGCCCTATAGCCAAACATGCTGATATGCTTGAATCCAGCAACAAAGCCATAATCTACAAAATTTTCAGAAAAGAACACTCTAATTAGCCTATATTTACCCCAAAAAAATCTAGAAATGTTGACCATCTCATCTAAAGAGTTCAAAAATTATTACAAAAGTTTTTAGATGACGCTTCCAAGCGAGGAGTTTCTTGAAATGAGCCCTAATAAGGGGTTCCCCATATTGAAAAGCCAGATGTCCGATCATGCATAGACATGCATTTTCAAAAATTGTGCAAATGTCGGAATTTTGAAGAAAAAATGAATCTGGTATGCGCGAAAGAGGCGTATTGAAGTTAATCTAATAAATACGGTTGTCCTCTCTATGAATTTTGAGGTTTTAGACGAGTTGTTTTAGCAGTATAGAAATTCAAGTAATGTTTCTTACCAAATCAAAAACCAAGATCAAGTGCCCACACGAATTCTTCGAAGGGAAAAAGAGCATTATAAGGGTGTAACCACTTGCTATTGCATTTATTAACGCAAAATACCTGCAGACAAACATAGAAATATCATGAGAAATTTCTCTGTCAATGATACATAATTAAGAACATTATTGGACTAGTGGTCTTGCTTGAAAGTTGGTGAATCTGTAAATTTGGCTTCAAATTTCATGTTGAAGACTTGTGCAGAATCCTTGCTCGTCACCATGATAACAGTTGCAGTAACCGCGGCGCCCAAGGCCAGGAGCCTAAGCAAAAAAATGGGAATTCTCTTGGCCAAACTCATGATTAAATGTATATATTTTTCAATATAAATCTACAATGGAGTTTGATTTAATCTGTGAAAGAGGAGTAGAATGGAGAGATGAAAGAAAATGTGGTAGGAAAGACAGATAAGTGGGAGGTGAATTCATCTTCTTGTAGATCTTTTCTGGTCAATTTCTTGGTTACCTAATGATATTTGCACGTAATATTTGTCCCATGTGTACTTAGTAAAATAGAGAAAATGGCTTTATTTAATTCCGCAGTTGTATTGCTTACATATAAGTGTGGGGATTGAAAAAGACGCATACGGTGTTAATTATCGAGTATCGTAAGCAATTCTTAGATTTTCACTTCCGTGTCTCTTCAAGTTGCAGCCGTAACTAACCTTCGATTTATTTAATCATGATAATATAAATTGGTACATTGACTTGGAGTTAAAAAAGATATGTGACCGTCTTACGGCGAATTCGCCCAACAATTCAACCATTATCAATTTTGGCCAGCGATTAACTGTGTAGGTGTGATTGCAAGTAGATTGACGACTCGGCTGTGAAGCGTTGACGGCTGTATTCGGTTCAACTACCAACCGGTCGAGTGTTTAGGCTCTTACCATTGATAATTACGTAGACAATAAATTGTAACAAGTAATTGTTAAATGGGGCTATAACTTTTGGGTAGACGAGGGAAAATTTTGGTATTTTATATGTTTGGCAGCTGTATAACTGTATTCGCTTCATTTTAGGAATGTTAGTGGACCGACCAGCTTGAAAAAAGTCAACTTGGCTCGATTCGGCTCGATTCAGTAGCTCATTCATTAATGACATGAGTCAAGCTCGCTCACAAGGGAAAATTGTCATTAGCCTTTCTTCATTTCCAATATCTATAATTGATTTGTAAGTGAAGTGGTAAAATTGTGGGAATGAGGGTTTGAATTTCACAACTTTTAAGTTAAAAAGTCTAAAATTGGAAATTATTATTACTTATGAGTCATAATTATTCACAAAAAAGGCGCAAAATATGGCCATTGTGTAATTCAGTTTCTAACATTTTTTTCCTTGTCAACGTCCTTAGTTGATGTTTTATGTGCTCAAATAGTCACTTTTCAGAGATAACATCCATTTTACCTATTAAAAGTCAAAATTTTAAATTAAATTTTACAATGTCGTTACTTTTAACTAGTTAATAAAGAGTAATAAAAGTTCAAATCGATGGAATCCGTGAAAAATGAAAATTTGCACGTGTAAACTATAGTTTAAGGACCTCTGTGCCAAGAAAAAATGTCAAGGGACCAAAATCGCACAAAAATCGTATGTTAGGTACCATTTGCTCCAAATTCCCAGATATTTACACTATTTGTATACTAATCTATTTCTTTTCATGCTTGATACACTTCGCAATGAGTTGGACGAATGTGGAATTCCATTGCTTTGTTTTTATCTTTAAATTTCAAGCTTCACATGACTTCACCTGTGGCTCCTTTAGATTTATTACATGGTAATAAGCTAACAGGAAGGGGTGGATTTGGGGGGCCTCCTTTGGGGCCCAACTGTTCTCCGAGGCTTCAATATACTAGTACCTGCCATCAAAACATCATGAAGGATTCAGTGAACGTCTTGAAATGCAGTAACACAAGACAAATCACTTTTTCTCCCTTCTAGTAGATGCTTTTTTTTCTTTTAAATGAAATTGTTCAGTATCTGTACTCGGATGATCGAGCACTCTTCTTGCTTCCTTGCCCTATCTCGCTGGAGGCTTCTTGAAAAAAGCGGTGGATGCCCTCAACCTAACTTTATTTTCTTATATAATTTTTTTTGTGATTTTTCTAATGTAGGACTTTTTTACATAATAGCCGAGCACAAAAGATTTTTTAGTTCAATCGTGACTCCGCCCTTGCTAATAGGGTTTTAAAAAAAGCTGAGAATTAATGATTCTATAGACAAATATAAAGCGCATTTGGTAGCTAAAAGGTATAGACAAATGATAGGTTTGATGATTCGACATCAATTCTTTTGTGTCTAATTATAACATCATTGCTATAGCTTCTCTGTATAAGATGGATGAACAAACAATATTTTTTATGGAGAATTGGATGAGAAAATATTCATGGAACAAATCAAAAGGCTTCATAGTTGGTCAAGAAAATAAATTGTGTAAACTTGTTAAATATGGATTTAAACAAGCACCAAAATAGTGGCTTGAAAAATCTGGCCATGCAATGTTGTCACATAGGTTTAGGATCAATGAGTATGATAAAGTATGTGTACGTATAATAAATCTTGTGTAATTGCTTGTCTTTACGTCAATATCAAATTTATTATGGGAATTAGTAACTTCTTGACTAGTAGTGTGCACATGCAACTCCTGTAATGAGCATTTTCTTCAATCGATTGACGATGATTTATCTTCAATTCAGTATTATTCTTGACATGTCTCCGCAAGACAGAGATCCGTCGAAGGTTTCTATCATGGGTAGTAGGTAAGTAAATTTGGCTAGTAGACAATGATTTAGTAAGAGTATCGACCAATTGATCATAAACAATAATCAATAGTAATGTACTTCATGTAGGAGTGGAGAATCGAATTGACTGAAAGACCCGTGTCATAAAATATGGTAGGCCGACTTGGTAGTTGCTCCTTGAGCTACTATAATAGATTTTTGATCCATAGGACCTCAAATGAGCAAGAGGCAAGGCCACGATAATAACCGTTTTCTGCTTTTCAGAGCACCAAAAAATAGGAGTACCACCAAGATAAACAATGTAAGCAGAGGTGAAGTAGCGGTCATCATGATTACCAGCCCAGTTGACATTGGTAAATACTGTTAAGCTAGCGTTGGATTATTTGCAAAAGATTAACCTACGATGAATTGTATGTTTGAGATATCGGAGAATTATTTTGACAGCAAACCAATGATTATCTGAGAGGTATTGGAGGGCACAAAAAACTTGTCGACGGAGAGTAACATCAGCTGGAGGGAAACCATCATAAAGAATGAGAGAAACTTTGCAAGTCTCCGGCTAATCCAAGTTTGTGTTTTTTATATATATAGTTTTATATATTTATCATTCTACAGCCTCTTATTTATGTATATTATCTTTATTAACTATTTGTGAAATTCCAACAATAAAATGTTTAATGTTAAGGTTAATTTTTACCTTTTTTTGTTAGTTTGTTTAAAATTTCAAATTTGGACATTAAAGTTTTTTGTGACAAATATAGTTAATAATATAACTGCTCACCTTAAAAAAGTATACCTCAAACGTGGTCAACAGATCGCAAGACTTCTCAAGTCCATGCAAGCCATATTTTTACACACTTGTACAAGTCGTTCCTTCAATAGGAGTGGAGTTGGCCATGTGTACTCCAAAGGTCAAGTTAGTTGGAGATGTAGATATATGATTGTGGGAGGACTTTGGACGTGAGCCTCCAATGTAAAAAAGAGGGTCGACTTTGGGGAATAAAGAGTAAAATAGTGATAAAGCAAAGTTATAGTTTCAGTGTCTACACTTGCATTACTTTTTGAATGACACAAAGTGTGAGATTTTATAATAGAAGAGGGTGAGTGCGAATCGTTGGATGAGGAGACACGTAGCTTCATTTTAACAGTTGGGGCCTCTTGATAGGCATCAATCAGTCAAACATAGGATCAAGTGCATTTAATGTTATGACCATTTGCAGCTCTCTAAGTCTGACATGTAAGACTAGATTTGACCTGTTGATTGAGTAGAATTCTCTATTTAGTGAGTTGTCACATCATCCACTTGTTAAAAGATCTTGTATAAATATCTTCATTAAGATGCCTCTACTTACCTCGCCTCATTCATGGGCTCACCATGTGGGTTCGACCAGTTGGGGTTTCGACCATGGGACTTCAACCAAATTGCCACATGTGCAGAATGATGTGAAATGCAAGCCTATGTTCTCTTGTTGTGTGGCTACCACTTGGCAATTCTTAAAATCCTGTTGAAAGAGGCGTAACAACAACTCTATCATGACTTGGTTGGAGAAATGTTGTGGTACTAAACTAAATTGATTTATCTTTATTTGACAATTGTTTTTTTGACTCATTCTTGTACAAATGTGGTTTTTTGGTCCATTCTTATAGCATGGATTGCTCTTTATTTGGCAATCAGCTTTATGAGGGTTTTTTTTTTTTTTTTCTTCCCGTTCTTGGCAGTTTTTACTTTGTATGTACATAGTGAAAGGGATTTCTAAATTGTAAGGATTTGAACTTTGTCACATTGTTTTAGATGAAATTAAGCCTAGAACTGTGATTTAAAAGAATATTCCAAAATTACCGTTGGTTTTCTTATTAGTAATAGTTAAAACGATCCTTTTTATTGCATTCAATTTTTAAAACTCCGAGTTTCATATTCATCTTCAATTCCGCCTCTAACTCGTCGCCGTGGCCATCAAGAAGCTGTTACTATGGGCACAATCCACAGCCATTTAGGAGCTTTTGCATGATAGTGCTCCAAGTCGACTAACAATGGAGGAGAAGTATGTATTTGATAGTGATTGTGATGACTATAACAAAGATCGTGTTCGAATACGACAATGGTGTATATCACACGCATGTATGAAGACCTTCGTGGTTCACGATGACGCCAGGTGTCTAAGGGGGGTGTATTCAATTGGAATTTTTAAAGACTTTTGAAATTTTTTTTAAGTGGGTGACTTTTGTGGACTTTGTGAAATTTTAAGTAATTTCTATGGATTTGGTAGGAATTAGTAAAAGTTTTTCCTGGATTTGTGGAGACTTTTACTAAAGACTTTTAAATACTTTTGAGGATTTTTTTTTAAGGAAATATGTCACAGTGTTAAATGTGAGATATCGAGGAATATTTATGAGAATTCACAACATTCACTTAAAAACGAATTTTTGAAATTAGAGGGAGAGATAGAGATCAACTAGTGAAAATTTACCATAATCTGATTTGAAGAAAACTCATAGCAAAGATTTAAAGAAATACCTAATTGGAAGAGATGGAGGAAAAATTTAGAGGGAAATAAGAATAGCATACTCTTTTTAGAAAATCTCTCTATGGATGAGAGATTTTGGGAGAAAAATCCTATTTATATTTTTTATTAAAAAGTCTTTGAAAGTCCAAGAAATTTTAAATTCTCTAAAAGTCCCTCTAAATTAAATACCTTAAAATTTGTAGAGACTTCTAAAAAGTTTCAATTGAATACCCCGTAACTTCTGGAGACTTTTTAAAAGTCTATAAAAGTCTCTATTGATTACACCCAAACTTTTAGAAAGTTTTTAAAAGTTTCAATTGAATACATCCAAACTTTTTAAATCTCTAAAAGTATTTAAAAGTCTCGATTAAATACACCCTTTAAAAGTCTCGGCATTTGCATTGACGGTGATGGACATCAATAATTATGGTGCCGGTGCTCACGACAACGATAATAATATAACATAGTATGTATTATGTAACGTGTTACAGAAACATGTTTAACACACATGCTACCAAGTACAAGTTTAATCAATATGATTCACATGTGTTTTTAGAATAGATATATAAGTTTAATGATGTTTTAATATCATTTGTCATATTAATGTGACATTGAATAAGATAACATTATTCTTTTAAGTTAAGTGATATTATAAACCTAAGCATTAAACATTTTGAACTGATAAGGTTGAATTTATTATATGAATTGAAACATATATTTACTCGGTGGGACAGAGAGCCTGAATATTGGGATTGTTCAGTGTTAATTGTGAGTGCGATTTGAGAAGACTTGCCTTCTACAAGGCGTCATACGAGAACAGCGGTGCTTATAAGCTCACAATAAACCCCACCACAACACACAATGAAAATGGGAAACAACCCAGAAATCGTGCAAGAATTTGAAGAGGACGAAGATGGGCCGCCGCCTGGGTTTCAGTCCATCATCACTCCGCAGCCACCCCAACAGAATTTTCCGTCTGACAAAGCTGAAGCCGGTGACGGAAGTGGCGGTGAAGAAGAAGGTCCACCGCCTGGGTTCCACCCTAACGATCTGCCTCCGCCACCACCACAGCCATCTTCCGGTGAGACGGATTATTGCAGCCATACCCGTTTTGTTTAAATATCCCCTTTTGTTCTTGCACAATCAAATTGCTGTCTTTTATGAAATTTTAAAATAGATTTTTGTGTATGTTAGTATCATTGGCAGATAAGATAGCATGCACCCTCGCTGAAGAAAAAAGATGATAATCTTGAAAAGATTGAATTTTTTGAATGCTCAACTTATTGCATCAATCGTTGGAAACTTTGGACTTTTTACCTATGCCAGAAAGATTAAAACTGTGAACGTCTCTTGACATTTCGGTCTTGCACGTACGTATCATTGCCGACTTTTTGTTGTTTTTGGTTAGATATGTTGGATTCTAAAATTTGAACGGTTAATTAATTTATGCCATGATCATATTTACCCGAACAATGATATAAGTTCAGATTTTTTTTTACAAAATTTGTACAGAAAGACGGTTGCCTTCCTATAATTGGCTGTTGCTAAAAACACAGCAAATCACGGTTTTCCTGTACCAATTCTATTAAAAAAATCTGTACTTACAGATTAATTGTATATACCCATTGTAATTATGCGGGTTTTAATTGTTGTTCCTTGCCAAGTTTGGAAGTTTCCTTAGGCAGTTCTCTTGTATCTCTTAGGCAGTTCTCTAGTTTATCCAATTGCTTTAACTAGGGGATGCGACTATCTTTCATAGTTTCATTGCCTTTTCCATTCTCCATTTTTATCCCCTCGTTATCTTGGTAGCAGTGATAAAAATTATCTAATACATGCATCAAACATAATCTGGCAGTCTGCGTTTGTTAATTTTATTTAGACATGTTTAGAAGGATAACATGCTGCTTCTTTTTAAGCTTCCCAGTTCCCACCATATAATGAAAGTTGAACAACAGTTGAGAGAATATAATTGAGGTCTAACCATTTATTTGATTGTTTAATATCCTAGCAGCTCCTTTTAATTCTTTAAAATTATCCATAAATGGTTTGAGAAGTTGTACATTAATTTATTGTTCTTCTTACAATTATTTGATGATGTATGAAATGAATCCACTCATTGTCATTATTCAGACATGGAAATAGGGGGCAAACAAACTCACATTGAAGATGATAAAGATGGTCCCCCACCAGGATGGGAATCTAATACTCTTTCTCAAATGTTACCATCAAAACCACCATCATATACAGCAGGTCATATTTTTCCTCCTATTTTATTGCATTTAGTCTGTGAACTCTCCGAATAAGTGCTCCTACATGTAACTTTTTGATAACTAATTTTTGCTGCTTATTTGAGGCATGCTTGTTAATCACCATAATTTTGAAAAATATTTAATGATTTATACAACGAATTAAGTCATTTTCAGCATTCAGATATTGAAATGAGGGGCAAACGAGATGGCATTCAAGATGGCGGGGAAGGTCCCCTAACAGGGTGGGAATTTAGTACTCTTTCTCAAGCGTTACCATCAAAATCACAATCAAATATAGCAGGTCATATTTCTCCTTTTTCTATTTAATCTCATTTAATCTGTGAACCCTCTCAGAACGAGTGAATATTGTGAGGGAGCTTTGCGCATGTGTAGCTTTTATCTGAAATCATTTTGCCCTTGCTTGTTTGAGGCATTCTTGTTAGTCACCATATGTTTGAAAAGCTTCTTGATGATTTATAAAATGAAATAACTGGAGGTCATCTTTCAGATATGGAAATGAGGGGCAAACAAGATGGATTTGAAGATGACATAGATGGGCCCCCTCCAGGATGGGAATTTTGTGCCCTTTCTCAAGCATTAACATCAAAACCACAATCAGAACTCACTTTGGATACAGGAGGTCATATTTCTCTTTTTTTATTTTATTGCATTTAGTCTGTTAACCATCTTGGGTAATTGCACAATTTAGCGTCGCTTTGCCATCCTTGTAGCATTCTTTGAACTTTTTTTTTCCATCGCTTGTTTGATGCATGCACGTTAATCACTTTACTTTGGAAATAGTTTTGCTTTGGACTCTATGCGCAATAATGTAATACCTAATTTGAGGAAAGATATTCATCAACGAGTTTTTGGTCATATGATCTAAGAATTGTTTTGAAGAATGAGAATTTTTGAAAGCTGCAGTATTTAGATCCTGCACATGGTCTCTTTTTAAGCATAAGTCCAGCACAATCAATTCATCAAAGTTGAGTAATATTCAGTAACTGTTAATTTCATGGAATTACTAGACCAATGGAGATCTATGGCCCAAACGATTTCACAAAATGCTGCATAAGCTTTTGGGTGTGTTTTAAGCTTACTTGATGCCTTGGATTGATATATATTACCTTTGACATCTCAGATATTAAAGTGGAGAGGAATGAACTGCATGAAGTTGAAGATGATGGCCCCCCGCCTGGATGGGAAACAATTTTTCCACAGCAGATGCTGCCGCCATACAAACCACCATTGCAGCCATCATTACCTGTTTCTTCTGGTGAGCCTTCTGTTTTACCATATGCCGTCTTTCTGTACAGATAGTGCATTTATCCATCATTCAACTCACTGTTGTGAATTCAATTTCAAGTTTGGCATGCCATAGCTTAAAAACAATGAATATTGTGTGTATGTTCATTATTGCTTAAATATTTATCTGTAATAATTGGTTTTTGGGTATGCACCAGTGGTAGCCGTTATGAACTGAGGGGTACTGAAATCGATTGCAGGTCAACTGAGATTTAGTGCTTTAGTTCTCTTTCGTCACAATATTTCCGGGTATTTAACTGAATCGATTTCCAATTGCAACCCATTTTTGTACATAAGATTTTATTTATTTCTTTATTTTTTTTTTGTGTAAAAAATTTCCTTTTACATGTTGGGTCAATACCATGCAGAACACAAAAATGTAACTAACAATAAAAAATTACACTTTCACGTATTGATTATTGCTACTTTTTCAGCATCTAATACCCTACAAAAACATGAATAGAAAGCTAGGGAAGTTCGAATAAAATCTAATTCATCTATATCCACTAAGAAAACAGTTAAGCAAATATGAGTAAAGAAAAATGGTCGACATACAAAGTTCAGTGTCAACAAAATAAATCATTCTTCTTCTTTTTTTTTTTTTTAGATCTTAGAATTAGAAATGCATTGGCATTTCACATATAGATCGAGAAACAAAATCATGTTGCCTCTTCATAGGCGTCCACTTTGATACATAAAAAGTACGACATATATGTATGTATAAAAATGCACACTCTGTCATTACTTTAAAGTACGAAGAATATTGAATTGAACGTGAAGATTAGGATTTGAAATTATTATGAAGAGATATGAAGAAAGATTAAGAGCACTTACGTAGATTTTTATTAAGAAAGAGGTAGAGAGAGATTTTGATTAAAAGAGAGATGATAGTGCATTATATAGTTGGCGATTTGAGTTTGAATTTAAATTGAAGAAATTTGAAAAGACCGTAAATTGATGTGGTGAATGAGAAGTCAACATTTATAATTGGATGAACAAAACAATTTGGCAAAGCAGTTTAATGAATGTACGAAGGATATTATTGGAATATATTAAGCTCTTGTTTGAGCCACATTATTGGAATGAAAATGCATTTTTAAATAGTGTATTGATGAGAAATGTGTGGTTGAAAAATAATGAAAAGTTTTGGTTTTGCGTGTAATATTATTTTATTGAAGAATGTGTTGTTGAAATGATGTCAAATCATTGTTGAAGAATATATTTTTTCAAAAAATGTGGCTCAAACAAGGCCTAAATGTTATATTTGGAATATATTCAATGTAATTGGGATAAAAATGTCCGTGAAATGATTCATCTCATGGACTAGGGCTAGGCATGGTCGGGTTCGGTTCAATTCTAACGAGAACCTAATTGGACCCGAAATTTTCGGGTATTCAGTAAGCGGAACCCTCGAGTCCAAATTTAATTATGGAACTGTTCGGGCTCGGTTCTATTCGGTTCTCGAGAGCCGTACTATAATTAAATTTTTTAATATTTACAAAGTTACATTAATTTAACTAATTACATGTTCAATCTTAGTTTTTATAAAATAACGTAGTTCAATCTTAGTCTTTTGCGTCTTTCTCCGCTGAGTTTTTAATAGATTTGATTGTTAAAATCACAGAAAGAGAAAGATAATGAGCTCACAATAATTAAGAGAGGTGTTGTCGAGTTTCAATTCGATTTCTTCAAAACGGTAGAAACAGCATTACGGTGTAATAATAGATTTGAGTAAAACTCGGGTCAATTTGATTTAGTTGGGTTGAACTAAAAATTAGAAATATGAAAAATTATATTTTTGGATTTGAACTAAATTAACTTGTTAGCAAATTTATTTAGAAAAATGAAGTAAGTAGGCTTATTTAGAATAAATTAATTAAAAAATTAGGGAGATTCAGTTTTTCAGTTCTTGATTTATAACTGAGAACCAAACCGAACCAGTCGGTTCTCGATTCTGATCCATTTGGGTATTTAACTTAAAAAGAGCCATTCGGTTCGAGAGTTTTGTCCTACCCTACATGGGACTTTTAGTATATTATAGATATATATTATAGACTATAGTTAGGAAAAAGGTTGGGAGAAATTTTAATCAAAAGGCAGATGGTGGTGTATTTTATAGTTGGTTATTCAAGTTTGAATTTGCATTGAAGAAATATAAAAAGGAGAAAGATTCAAATTTAAATTTATATGACGAAATATGAAAGGATTTATTATCATAAATGGTTACGTTGAATGTGAAGTTAAGAAATAGAACGAACGAATTAAATAGTTTAGTAAAACAGTTCAATGAATGTAAATGATTCTCATCTCATGGGACTTTTAATATATTATATTATAGATTAGAGATAACATATGCTTTTGAACTTTTAAGTCAATAAGCAGAACAAATGGACAAGATTAAGCTACATTGTATATTTCATTGGAAGGCCACTAATCTAATCCTCTTTAATATTTAAAACGAAAAAAAAAAAAAAAAAAAAATATTTTGTAAAGTCTTAACATATATTATTTTGTTAAATTATAATATCTCCATTTATGTTTTAATCTTTAATTATCCCTCATCCCTTTCTCTCTCTTCTCCCCCTCCACTTTTCCGTCACTTGTAGCTGCAATGAAATTAAAGCTTTGTAGCATTTGGACCTCATGTGTGAGCACATCAATCGTTTATAAAACCTTTTGGAGGCGCAACTAAAAAGTACTAAGGTGCAAATTTCAAATACCATTTATGACGCTTACACCTGTACCAATTGAGGCGCAAACCTCACAACGCACACCTCTAATTCATCGAGGTTGACATAGGTATAAGGCTAGATTGATTGTTAAAGATTACACACAAATTTATGCGATTGACTATTAGGAGACTTTTGCTCCAGCGTCAAAGATGAACACTATTAGAGTCATACTATCCCTAGCAGTTAATTTAGACAGGTTATTTTGATGTCAAAAGTGCCTTCTTTCACGGTAATTTGATGGAAGAAGTGTATATGAGTCTGTGCTATGGATTTACACTTCTAGGAGTTAAGGTATGTAAGCTGAAGAAGGCCTTGTACAGTTTAAAGTAATCACTGAGGGCCTGGTTTGAGAGGTTGAGCTGCTCAATTAAAGGGTTGACCCTACAAATTGTTTATTAATAGATGGTGATGATATCATGCTTGTTATAAAGTATGTGGATGACATGATTCTTATATGAAGCATGTCATTCCTGGCAATGACTTCTCATATCATGTGACTTTTAATATATTATAAATATTATATATTATAGATTAGAGATAGCATATGCTTTCAAAAATATAAGTCAATAGGCGGAACAAATGGACAGGATTAAGCTATGTCATAACTAATCTAATCATCTTGAATATTTAAAACAAAAAACAAATATATTAATAATATCTCCATTTATGTTTTAATCCTTAAATATCCTTCATCTCATTTTCTCTCTTCTCCCCCTCCGCTTTTCTGTCACATGTATCTGCAATCAAATTAAAGCTTAGTGTAGAAAATGTATTTGGACCTATCACAAGATATTCTCGTGCGAACTTCTAGAAGTGTGAGCATATCAATCATTTATAAAACCCTTTTGGAGGCGCAAATAAAAAGTACTAAGGTGCGAATTTCGAACATCATTTATGATGCTTATACCCGTATCGACTGAGGTACAAACCTCACAACACACGCCTCTAGTTCATTGCGGTTGACAAGGGTTTAAGGCTCGACTAATTGCCAAAGGTTACACACATATTTATGCTAGTGACTAGTAGGAGACTTTTGCTCCGGTGGCAAAGATGAACAATGTTAGAGTCATACTATCCCTAGCAGTTAATCTAGACGGGTCATTTTGATCTTAAAAGTGCCTTCGTCCACTGTGATCTGATGGAAGAAGTGTATATGGATCCATGATTAGGATTTACACCTCTAGGAGGGGAGGTATGTAAGTTGACGAAGGCCTTTTATGGTTTAAAGTAATCATTAAGGGCCTGGTTTGAGAGGTTGAGTTGCTCAATGAAAGAGTCGACCGGACAAATTGTTTATTAATAGATGGTGATGATATCACGTTTCTTAGTAGGTATGTGGATGACATGATTGTTGCATGTAGCATCACTATTGAGATAGAGAAACTTAAGAGCTATCTGGCAATGGAATTTGAAATGAAAGATTTGAAGACTCAATACTTTTTTGGCATTGAAATATGTTGTTCCAAGCAATGACTTCTCTCCTCCCTACAGGAATATACACTAGGTCTCTTGGAAGAGTGTGTGTGTAAGATTTTGAGGGCTTTGTGTGCTGGGTGAAGCAGACGGGATAGTTGAACTTAGGGTTTTGGACTTTGAAAAGGATCCATTTTAGTGGATTTTAAAGATGAGTTCTGGCTGCCTCAGTTTTTTTTCCTCCATACGCAAATTTCTTCCTTATTTATGCTAATTTTTCAATGCCCATTTTACATTGTGTAATGATATGACAATTGAGATATTGGACATTGAATGGAAAGAAGTACCAAAGAATTCTGAACATTGTAGGACATGAAATGGGGAGCAAAAGAGAGAGAAAAAATGATGACGAAGGACGTCCATCAGGTTCTCGACCTGAATCCATGCCAGAACAATTGTCACAGTTGCTGCCATCATCAGCACCCCCTGCTGGTGAGTCCTTTCAACTACATCTTAACTGCACCTTGAGATGAATGATTGTTATGACACTGCATATTGCGGAGAGTTTGTCCTTGGAGATATGATAAATTTATGTATGTTTCTTCGTGAAAAATTCTCCTAGAGTATAGCAGTGTGCTAAATAAACTGCTTGACATTGTTTATATTAAACTAAAATCCCCACAAGAGTTTATTTCATGAATTTGTAACTTGTTTGCTCTAAATAATAAGATAATCTGTCTTAGGAACTTTTTCTTGTAAATTCTGTAATGTTCTTTATGGAGTTCCAATTATAACATGCCCAAGACCTAACGGTGGAAACAAATTTCCCCCAATAAACTGGGGCATCTTAGATATAAAATTGGGGAGCAGAGAAGTTGAGACTAAGAATGGGGACAAAAGGCCTGTCTCTGTGCCTTCTCCACAGCGACTACAACCTAGGACTCTTCCATCACCACCACCTGTGGCATCATCACCTTCTGGTCAGACTACAGGTATTTGATATTCCTTGTTTCAATTTTAGCTCATCTACTATGCAATTAAAGCCTGTACACACACCTCATTGAGTTGGTGATAATAAAATTTGTCTTTCTTCCATCTAAGACTATGTTTAATTCCATGAAGTAAACTTTTACATACCTTTTCCTCTTTTATGTTGTTCTTTGGGCACATCCCAAAAAAAATAATCCACTTCAATTAATGAAATTTTTTTTTATTACGCTTTCCTAAACTGCATCGTTATAATAAATCATACTTTTTGTTTAGTTAGAGACGGTGATCCCACACACTTAATGTCACCTATACAGGGATTAAAATAGAAAAACACACAAAACATATAACTTTTCCACTCCGAATCTAAATAACTTTAGGCATTCAGTTTTTACTCTGTTGTCAGTTATCACTGAAATCATTGTGAAATCTGCAAGTTATGCTCATCTTATCCAGGGAAGGATTAACTTTATTGCATTAAGAATATGTTACACTCATGAAATACTCTGGAACATTTTGTTGAAGCGAGTCGTCATGTTCCATTACAAACTCTCTGCCTACAAGATATATAAATATGCTATTTTGCCATGGGAATTTATGTTGACAATCCGGATTTGTAAATTATGTTTTCTATTTCTATTTAATGCAATTGATATTTTGTTGAGTAGAGAAAAGTTTGTAATATGCCAGGGTATCATTTTTTTATGTAATCTACTGATTCTATTTAAGGCATTGTAAACAAACATAAAATTTATTCTAATTTATAATTTAATTTAATTTAATTTGATTCAGAAATGAGGTCACTTGTAATTAAATTTAATTCAACGTGCCTCCTATAAATACATATGTATCGAATGTCTTTACCTGTTGTTACTACATCTAGTTTTCCTCTATTTTATTCTTTTGCTTTTGTAATATTCCATTGTTGGCGATGACTGTAGAAACCTTGCTGTGGACTTGTACTTACATAGCCTTTATGTTTCGCTGATGCAGAAAAGGCTCAATTAGTTTGTGGAACTTGCCGCAAATTGCTTTTGTATCCACGAGGAGCAAAATGGGTCCAATGTCCAGGCTGCCAGGAAGTCAATTTTGTCCTAGAAGGTTTTCCATCTCCTGTTACTCAAATGTTTGTTTTAAGTCAATGATTTGTCCATCTGTTATGAATTTATTTCATTGAGTGGAACATTCTTCTTTTGAAATCTATCACTTGGATAGAGACCAAGGTCTTCTTTTGTTAATATGTAAGTTCAATCACCTTAAGAGAATGTCCAATATTACTTATCTTAATTCCCAATAGTGGTGACAAGTACAACTCAAATCTTGTTTCTTTAAGCTTCAGCGACCAAGTCATTATAATCTTCAGCGTATTTGGAGCATTAGTACATTTGTCTCATTGAACTTGTGAAATTTTAGATTTGAGCATCATTGTTTCTTTTCCAAATTGATCTCCACAAGTACAACATTGTATGGGGGGACTTACTGACCTACATTCATCCGTATGGATAATATAAGGTATGCTTGCATTTATAAATTTATGGCAAATTGAACTTTTCAGTACCTGAGACATGTCGTGCTCTTAACATCTGATATGTAAGATATTATTCTTTACATTCTGCATTCCCTTGTAATGGAGGGCAATCAAATTTTTCATGCAACAATGTGCTAAAATGCTTTAGTTTTATGTGAGTGAGAGAAAACAAGAAACAAAAGAACAGAATTCTTCCTTACTAATTTTTTTGGATTCGTGCTCAGATTGACATGTCTGAATTGCTTAATAAGGTCTTGTTTGGTCTCACGTGATTTAGGATTTTATCTTTGTTTTTGCAGCTCATCAAATTGGACAAGTTAATTGTGGGGGTTGTGCAGTTTTACTTATGTACCCACATGGAGCACCAGCGGTTCAATGTTCTTCTTGCCATTTTGTGACTCAAATTGGAGTAAGTCTCTTCCTTCCTAAAGATGCATGATAATGCACTCCTAATACAATTTCATCTCCTTACCAAAATCATCATTATGGAAATTAACTCATGCATGGTTGCCTGAGATTTGTATACAACTCTCTTCGAATGTATATACACCGAGAATAAACATTTAGATGAAAGCTCACAGTTAGTATTAATTTAATTATATAGAGATCGTCGAAATCAATCAAGACCATAATGTCACAAAGATTATGGCTCTGTCCGATTCTCATTTTTCCCAAAATACCACACATTCTTCATTAAAATAATATAACACGTAAATCAGAAACTTCTCCTTATTTTTCAACCACATATTTCCCATCAATCTACTATTCTAAAATGCATTTTTTCATAAAAATGTAGCTCAAACATCCTCTATATATTGCATATTGCTCACATAAATTAATGTATTTTCCTGGACCATTATATAACAATTCTCCAATATACTTTTCTGATGTGCTACTAAAATTATGTCAATGAGTTATTCACGAATTGGGAGGAAAAAATTCTTAGTTTCTCGTTGGAATCCAAGATTTAAAGGTAGTCTTAAGGCAAATGAGAAGGAAAAGGAAGATAATGATAGACATCTCAGAAATATTGTTGTTGTAAGATGGATACTAAGATCAACTTGATGTCTTCAAAATTGAAGTGAATAGAAATTCCTTAATTATTGTAAAGGGGCAATTCTAATTTTGATTATATCATGTTAATGTGTAGGCACACAACAGGCGACCTCTCCTTTCTGTTCAACAGGCTCAGAGAAGGCGTCGTGCCAACAGACGTCGTTAGACTGCTCATATCTTTTTAATTTACAACTGAAAATATAATCCAAAAACCTATGTCTGCCAAATGTTTCTCATCTCTCAGTTAAGAGGTTTTCATTGCCATCTTGAGGAAAATGAATGTTTGTCTAAACTTATACCCAAGCATTTTACAAATTGCGACTTTTATGAACTCCAATTTAGAATATGTAGTCTTTATGCTCTTTAAGTTGGTGCCATGTGCATCCAATTTGAAACTCTCTTTACCCATATCATTTTCACATAAATGTTGATCTGCAATAGTGATGACTACTCTTGCACTACTTTTTAGCTTTGGCTTTCCAACATGCATATGAATTTTTGCACTTTTGTCTAACTGCTTACACCTGACTACTATAGCATTCTTAATATCCCTGTCTAGTTGTAATTGCCATCATGATTTTTGTCAAGCACCTATTGAGTGCAATCCCACACGTGTTGTTGTACGATAATCTTTTATAATAATCATCTATCTGCTTCCCCTAGTCTGGTGTTGCAGTGCCATTTGGATCCTTAATATTCTTCAATCTTTAGCCTTGAAGACTCAATACCGAAGATCAGTTTCTGACATTTTGCTTATCTTGATGCACTTCATCATTAGCAATGTCAGCAGTAACATGCTGGTTTGCACTACTATCAACATACCAAGTATTCTCTGTTGGAAATATTAGTTACACACTTCTCATTGTGAAGAGAATCGGATTGTGCCACCATAGCTGCTAATTGTTGAGATGGATGACACCCCTGGTAATTATAATCATACCTATGTCCGCCAAATGTTTTATCATCTCTCAGTTAAGAGATTTACATTGATGTGCTGAGGAATTTACTAGTAGGGTGCACCTGCACTTGTGTTGAAAGTGGCTTTGCATAAATAACTATTTCATATAAGTAAAAGCTGCTACTAGTAAATTCATGTGCACATTCTGAAGGTAAATAATTCATCTGCACATAGAAAGGAGATAAATAACCATGTAACACAGACATGCTCCTGTACAATCATAGAAAGAAGATAATAATTCATCTGCATTAATAAAATAGGGTCGGGTAATCGAAAACCCCCTTCAGGTTGAGGAGGCATTAAACCACCTAGGCTTTGGTGGAGTTTCTGCTAAAGCAAATCTTCAGCATGTGAAGATGGATTACCTATCTTCTTTCTTTGATTGCTTTACGAATTAACCTTTAGAATGCTTTGCGGGTTAACCTTCATAGAAAGTAGATATTGATTTACTTTCCTTTAATAATTTTGAAATTTGGTGAGTTTTTTAATTTGATATTTTCGTAAATTCTCATTTTAGGGATTTTTGGTATATAGATTTTATCTGAATTATTTGATTCTTCTCTCTTTTTCTAAGGTTTATTGAAGAAGGAACCGAAAAGTCTGTAGCAAGAACCTTTGGAACCATATGAATTGTGAGCATAAGATTAGACAAAATCTTATGCATTAATAAAATTAATTGTGATTATTTTAGAGTTACAGTCACACCTAATGTCGTTAATTATGCCATGGTCACTAAAGTTTTAAGTAATTACGTCAATGGTCATTGAAATTATATTTTTTATGGCAATAGTTGCACGAATTTCTATTTGTTACAGCGATGGTCACTCAGTTAAAAATAATAATAATAATAATAATAACATTAGATTGTGCAGGGCACCACTAAGTGTTAGCATGCCCTCAAATAACATTATTTATTATGTCAAGTTACATTGTTGTTAAAAAAAGGTGGTTTTACTGTATGATTGAAGCAAAAAATCTGACCAAAAGTAGCGCATCATTACTTTTTCTTATCTAAAAGTTAATCCTCAATTCCTAACTCTCCGATTTTGTTGACTTCTTGTAATTAATAACGTCGTTTGGTGACACGTGGATACTTAATAGTGTCACGTATGATGTAATGTTAGTTTTTTTTTACCAAATGACCAATACTGTAACAGTTAGAAACTTAATTGATTGTTAGCGTAAAAAAATAACTTTAGTGACCATTAGAGTAACTACTCAAAACTTAAGTGACAATTGGTGTAATTATCCTTCCTAGTGCAATAGTTATGACTTGAACACATGAATTTCTCATCATGTGATAAGTGTAAAATCTTCAATTCGAGTTCTATGGGATAATATTTGGTGTTAGTAAAATAGTTTTGACATATACAAGTCCACAAGTGATTTCATGGATAACTTAGCATGATTTACTACTAGTAACTAAGTACCAAAGTCTATTAGGTATAAAGAGCACCAGTTTGCCACAACCTCTTTGCAATGCATGAGGCTGAAAGAGTTACTACTAACGTGATAAGTAAATACATCAGGGCGAAGGAAGATTTTGGAATATGGACCTTCTAAGGCAACATATATTAACTCATTGGTGTATTAATTTATAGGCTTTTCTATGCCATAAAGCTGGAACGTAGTGGTAATTTCATTTTTTTGAACGGGTTGTCTTTAATAAAGAAATCTCACTCTGCTTTCAGCACACAAGTTGAATGAATTTCAGGTGGAGTCTCTTGGGGAGCGTGTACATTTCTATGGGAAATCAAAGACAATTCGTATTGATTCCAATCTTGAATCAGGTAGAGTTCTGTTCAAGCAACTCAGGTAAGAGTGAATGGAATGCTGAACAGAAAGGGACTAATGGCAGGTTCTACGTGAAATTTTGATTTTGCTATCATCCAGGTGTACCTTAATTATTTTATTTTTCCATTTTTATTCTTTTAAATGAAATTCTTTGATACTCTGCCGAAATTATGGAATCTGGGTGGTGATGATGTTTAAGTTCTTAAGAAATTATCTCAATGTCGAGCATATTCCTTTTCTTCAGTCCACAATGATATCACTTGTTTTTGTGGGGTCAGAGCCTCTTGAGTCTTGACTACATGTATATGGTAGGTAAGAAAAGTGTCTGGGCAGTGAGCAGCTTGCATAATATTCGGTCAGTTCCATTCTGGATGCTCAGAGTCAAAAGTTCAATTTTGGCTGCTTGAAATTTTGTTGTATACTTGGAAACAAACTTTCGCCTTAAGACGTTGCCTGTCTGCAATGCATAAGAATTTCAGATTGAATAACCATAAACACCGAAGCAGCTTTGCTACAAATTGAAGATGTTGCAGCTAACTTGGCTTTGTTCCTAATCTCCTCCATGTGATAATACAAGTCCTTTTATGCCCTGCTTTATAAATGTTTATACAAACACGCAGTACACGGAAAATAGTGAGTTTAATTTGCTGACATTGGGATTTTGGTGCTGAACTAATAAGTACGTAGAAACAGAAGGGAAAAAGATGAGAAATTTCTCAATCTGTACGGCATGGATCGTGAAGTTATTCGAATATGGGAAAGTCATAAGTTGATTACTCTAAAACGTCAGTTGGGAAGTAAACAAAAGGTTTTCCTTTGCAAGAGCAAAAAACTGGGAGCAGCTTTCAGTCATCGGGCAGGAAGTCCTCATCTGAGACGTCTCCCAGAAATGAACCCAGTGTCTTTTTCAGAATGCTGAAAGTCTTGTCATCCTGTAAAACAAGTACAACTTCATATTTGATCTTGAAGGCAGTAACAGAATGCAGAAGATATGATTCACTGTGTTACCTGCTTTTTCTTCTTCAAGGACTCATCCAGTTCGGAAATTCTTGCTGCACTTGCTTTCTCATTTTCAGATAAAATGCTCTTCTCCTTCTTCCCTGGTCATGGCAAAACTTAACAGAGTTAGATTCCTTCCTAATAAAGAGTGCGAATGAAATGCACAATAGGTACATGTTGCTCACTTAGCTGTTCATATCGAGAGATTAACCTTTCTTTCTCCTCTTCATATTTGTCAAAAACATCTGTTAAAATCCAGTAACTATATCAATGAAAAGGCACATATTTGCCAATTCAAGATTTATTACTTCGATTTGCCAAATGACACAATTGGCAAAATACCATATCAACAGGAAAAGTACCTTTCAAGGCCTGCAGATGTGTAGCTTTCTCCTTGCAGAAACCATCATAAACGGCTTGGAACTTGGCAGTCTCATTCTTCAGTAAATTCTCACACTGCACGGATTCAAACATGTTAGCAAGTACGGACAAAATAAAACATGGAAAACAGGACAATATTATAAATTTAACCGCGTTATGTTCATTCAATAAGCAGACCTCTTTTGAGCTCTTGGAGAGTGCCTTGGCAAAGTTTTGCCTGGCAATTCAAACATGAAAAAAGCCACTTGACTATGAGAGTTGAATATAATGATGACAGAGAAGTATTAAATAAGAGCACGTCTGAAAACACACAATATCCCATTGTTGAAGCCTGGGATATCTCACCTTTCTTTCTCAAGTTTTGATTTCAACCCATCCAAAATTGACTTTATGTCTGAAGCCACACTGTCAGCAAAATCAAATATTCAGTCACAAGTATGGAGAGGATCTTCCACTAATATTTCGGGTCATAGTTAAAAGCAAACAAAAGGAAAAAGGAGCGTGACTAGGAGTCGGTATTCTAATGCTTTACGTCTCGTCTCTTTCTTAAACGAGATTCGCTGATTTCCATGACTAATAAAATATCATGGAAATAAAATACAGAGAGGAGAATACAATCGCCTGATAATGAATGATACCAATATTCCTCGTGTTAATTCAACATAGAGCAGATTAAGTCTCTATGGTCGATGAAACCGTAGCATATTTTCATTTAATTATTTATTTTGAGTTTCATAATTTTTACAATATACTATTAGCTTATGACCACTGCAAAAAATTGACATCTCAAGATATTCAAATCAGATCACAATCACCGAGAATATATAGAACACGCCAGACACGCATGTAGACTATAAATCGGCATAGATCTGAGAAAATACACAGAAGCTTCACCTAGAAATTGTCTCTTCGTTCTTCTTCTGACCGTCCTTTTGCGCCTTCTCCTTTATCTGCTTAAGAGCACTCATAATTCCTTTGATATCACTGCATTTTAGCATTACTTCATCAGTTTCACGATAAACATAATGGAGATGGAGTACTCGAATATTAGTATAAGGAGATGAGATTAAGTATGATGACTTGGAGATGTCCGCATCAAAATCATCGTCGACGGAAACTCGTTTTCGACTCTCTGATTTTGAATTGTTCGACTCCGAAACTCGTTTCTTCGCGCTCGCTCTAGTGGCCGACATTGTGAAGATCCAATTTCTCTTAAATTTTTCAAATTGGTGCGCAGATGTTCGCGCGTCTCTGTGTTGAGAGAGATGGGGTTTGGAGAAAAAATGAAAAATTAGAGAATTTAAATTACTAACGGTATTTCTAATTAATGATTATTGGCGGGCAACAGAGGATAGATCAACACTAGCGTATCCTTCTTTATTTATTTTTTGTTTGAGTCTCATTCTTTTGATAAGAATTAATTTTTGAACAGTATATTGATGAAAAATGTATGATGAAAAGATAAAAAAATATATATATTTATGTGTAATATTATTTTATTAAAAAATATGTGATTAAATAATGTCAAAATACTGTTTAAAATATATTTTTTAAAGAATGGATATCAAAGTGGGGCTAAATGTATATTCTGTACATAAACAAAATTTTAGATTTTTGAGTTTTTTTAAGGCTAATTATATTCACATCATAATATTTTTTTCTTGTTATACCACATTAATTCTACTTAGAGTCATTAAAACACTTATATTCTTAACATTTTCGTCGAATTCGTCTTTAATCATCCATTAACTAACATCACTTCTTGCTTTTGATGATAATTTTTGTCAAAATATTATGTTTGCATGCTTTGAAATGAAGAAAAATATTTTGTCTCGCTTTTTCATTATTTTTATAAAAATATATAATGAATAAATAAGTCGTTTTACGTCCTCCAAACATACTTTTTAGATGAAAATTGTAGTTAGAGATATTATGTGTTAATTAATAGATGGTTGAGGTTAAGAATTCATTGAAAAAAATTAGGGAATAAGCACTAGAATTAGTAAAAGATTGAGGAAACGTAGTGTAACTAATAAAAATCGCGTAAGATGGCGAGCCTTGTTCAATTTGACTTGATGTTGATAAAGTCGAACCAAAACAATACAGATGAGAATTCCAAAAAAAATAAAAATAAAAAAAAAACTAAAAAAGATTTGTCTCCCGTGTTGACAAATTTAAATGACCTAAAATTCCAAGTTTTGAATTCCTCATATAAGATTTTGAAAACCTTTTGCTTTCTTATGGCAGCGTGTTTGAATCAAATGAGGCATAGAATTGGCATTCACAAGCATGGCAACATGGAAGAATTGATTTTCTTACATTTTGCAACTGTCTTTCAATTCGTAAATAGGATTGAATAGAAAAAAGTTTGTTCTTTTTTTATGTTTTTATTTATTTATTTATTTATTTATTATTATTATTATTATTATTATTATTATTATTATTATTATTATATGAAGTTGATTTTCAATTTTTTTCCGCTCTACTATTGCTGGAAAATTTCACACACGATTATAATTATTATACTACTTAAATCATATCAAGACCTCAACACATTTAACCGTATCTTTACCTACAGAGTTCTAGTGGGAGTTTCATTCAATATGATAGTCACACTACATTTTCATCTAAGTCTCGTGACGGAACAGTTAAGAATTAGAAACATTAAAATTTATGCCACCAAGAGCAATTAAATTGCAGAATGAAAATAAACACAGAAGAATACACAAAATTCATTGAGGGTTGCATAAATGTGTAAATACTGCGACATGATAAAAAGAAGTTTAAAATGGAAAATCACTCACGATATCTTTTCTGACACCTCTCTCTTTTTTATGATAACAAAAAATCCTAATAACGGTTCCCTATTTATAAGAAAAAATACGGCAAAATTGAAATTTCAAGTGTCAAATTCATAAACTATTTGTAATGAAATTTTGGTACACCCCCTTCCAACCCCATGGTGGCCTCATCGCGGAAATCGACCCATTTACTAACTCTGCACAGTAACAATAATTAGACTCTACGACTTAACAAGAACAATAAGAATAGATTTTTTGCGTCTAATATTAGCTATTCAATTTGACTGCCTAACTTTTTAAATAATTAATATAATTAACGTGACATATCCCCTAGCCTCTCTCAACTTGTGCATTAAAGCAAAAAACCTATATCTAGCCCCCTGAGCACAGCTCAACTGGTGGATCAATCAATATTGACTTGCTTCCAGCGGTAGGGTGGAGAGTTCGATTCTTGGTGGGAACCTGCAGCGAAAAATTTGATGTGGAGCAATCACTGTGGAGGTGGGTCTCTTGTGCGTAGAAGTGTACAGTTAATGGGGGGAACCTGTGATCCAGTTGAGGTATAACCCGCAATTTACCCCCCTCCAAAGTTCTAGGGGCATGAGTTTTGGAGGTTCAGAATTTAGTCCGGTGTACGCTGGGTTACCTGGATAAAAAAAAAATAAATAAATAAATATATATATATATATATATA